ATGCATTAAAAACTAGCACCTATGACACTCTTATTATTCTTAAGACCAGAGATAGATTGGAAGCTATTTTTCATGTCTTTCTTCTTTTTCTTTTACTTTATCTCACATTTTCTTTTCCTTTTCTTTATAATTTGTATTTTCAATTTTCTTTTTCATTTCTTTGTAATTTTAAAATTTCAATAAAATATTATTAAAAAGAATGAGTTATAATTCTTCCACTCATATGAACACTTTCATTTTTAAAATACCACCAAATACGTTCCTGTTCCATGAAAATACCATCCAATGGAAAATGAGGGAAACAATTATATAAAGTATAGCATTCACTTTTATACCAGTATAAAATAAAGAACTGCGACACTGTAAAAGATATTATTATTAGACACCACTCAAACGTCGGAACAAAATTACCTGAAAAACTCTAATCTAAAGTGAGCCCTAGGCATGCCCGTCTCAACAATATCCTTAAAAATGAGCTTGATTCAGCCTTCTAAAGTAAGTGATTAGTTTAGCAGGAAAATATTTGTTGACAAAACAGTATTTGCTGAAATGCCTCTTCTTATACGTTGTTGTTGAAGTCCACTCATCTTAAAGTGGCCAAGTTTGGACAACACTGCCTTAAGGGAAAAGCAATCGAAAATGCAATTTCACATCATACAAAGCTTCGCAGCACCTCAGTGTTGGGAGTCTCCTCCTGGGCATTGCCACTCTTCTCTTTTTTACAGGGGGTTACCGCAAAGATGCGTCGCTGCCGTTTTCTCTTCCTCTGTTTCCCAGGAGCCTTTTCGGGAGCTGCACCAAGGAAGAGCACACATCTGAAGACTGCATGGAATTAACTTCCTCTCAAGGCCATTCTGACATTCCTGTTCCTCAAATCTGAACGTCACAATCCCACCTATGACATTCAGTGCTGATTGAACAAAAGGTTCTACAGCAAACTTTCATTCCCCTTCAGTGGCTACAAAGAAACCCTAATGACGATGTATACTGCATTCCATATTTCTCTTCTAACAGCTTGAAAAACGTGTCAATTAATTTATAAGCAGCATACTATACTTATTCTGTAGGACCACCACGGGACAAACAATTTACCTGTGAGTTAGGAGAGTCCAAGTAATTACCTAAAAATTGACTTTTATTTTCAGAGAACAATAGAGGGATGAATAGAAGTTACAAATGATGTTGCTGAAAAGGTGTAAGACTAGCCCTTGCTTGATACTTACTATTTGCTTGGAAAAATTAACCCTCTTTCAATAGGTTTCTCTTCTCTGTCTAGTAATCTCGTCCCCCTATCCACCCCATCATCTCCATAGTGTTTTGATGTCCCTTTTCTCTGCTTCCATTCTTAATGCAGCTGCCTTTTCCTCATCTCCCTCCTCCTCCTTACTGCTTCTGCTAGAAGGAGGGAGGAGAACCTGTGAGTATGTGAGCATTTCTGTATAGGAAAGCAAATTGTTGGTTCAGGCAAATGTGGAATCATTTTTTTCCTATCTATTCTTCCTTTGCAGGGCAGGGCTATCTTCAATGCAGACAACTTAAGTGCTTCCAGATAAATGCAGTAGTTTAAGAATCCCTTTGAAAGCTACATAGCAAAATTAAAGAGTCACCTCAATTAACTGTGAATGTCTTATCTTTATGAACATAGCCAAAAAAAAAAAAAAAGTCTGGTTGGAGCTGAAACTCTGGCAGTTAAGTCAAAGAAGACTTCTGACTCTTACATAACCTACCACCATTTTCCTCCTTCTCAAAGTGACTTCGGTTCATGCCTTTCATATGGCAAGTCTTTGAATGTTCCTGAACTACATGAGGAATTCCAGGTAGAAGTGTCAGCCAGATATCATTTTAAACCAATTCAATCTAATGAAATAAAGATATAGCTTCCTTTTTATTGGGCTTAGGTAGTTTATAGGAAGGTATTTACTTATACCATAGCTGACAGATTCTGAGATGCGATTCAAAACTCTGGCTCAGTTTACTATTATCTACTCATGCATGCGCTTCTTACCTTTGCCAGCATTTAAAAGCTGAGATGTGGAATAAAACTCAGGCATTTCAGTATCCAAAGGACCAGCCTCAGAACACTGTGGATAAGCAACATTGATAATTTAGCACATGAAAACATGTTGTTCTACAAGGACACACTTTTTCCTAAGCTTGTCTCAAAATGCAGTTCCAGTTGATATGTTACAAATTACGCTAAATGGGAAAATTGCAGAAGAGATCACCCAGTGGCTGGACAGTGGGATGACAAGGAAAAATAATACTTAATGTATTATTAACTTCCTAGATATTAAAAAATCTGTGTGTATTACTGAAGCAAAAGAAAAAAAATAACTCTCAGAAAACAGTAAGAAACTAACAAGTCTAAAGAGTGTTCAATGAATGCAGTGTAATATTTCACATTTTAATACATGCACATTAATAAATAATACTGCAATAGTAATTACACAACATCACTTTAATGATTTTAAAACTGACATCTATAGTTTGTGTGTCCTCCAGATGTGTGAACTTCCAAAATTCTTGGCAATGGTCATGTTTCATCCAGACTGATGAAGGTTAATCTTAAAGAACAAAACCTTTTATCAGGCTGCATGAAATATAGGATAATTACAGCCATAGCAACAGGCACCTTCCATTTGTAAAGGTAGTGATGTCCTGCAGGGTATGCCACAACTACTGCATCATCTGTAATTTGGTGCCATGCCACCTTTTCTGTGCCAAGGTAACACTGGGTCACATACTACCTGTATGTAGGCTCCTCCCACACTGGCTTTCTATGGCCTTTCTGTCCTAACATTTGGGACATGACTGGACAAAGATTTTATGGTTCATATTTCAGAGGTGGTATCAGCCCTTTGAGGTAGTCCAGCAAGAAGCACCAACCATGAGTACTAACACTACTTTTATTGTAAAGCAACAGAATCTTGCAAGTCTAAAATATATCTCCCCTCCCTTACTTTTACTCTCCTCTCATCTCTTCTGGGATGCTTTCTCCACATCTACCCCTCCTTTGGACTCAGATTATCAAACCATGGTCTAGGCTACGGCTCTTCCTCCTGTCTCCCAGGGTCATTCCTACATACTATTACAAGTGGGCAGTTATCAAACATACAACTAGATTAGTCCTTTAGATGCCTGCACTACCAATTATAAATAATAGTTACACTGAGTCTATCAAACTTGGGACAATTACAAGCCTTGTATCCATGTACTTGGTTGACTGTGACTTTGTTCACCATAAAATAACGGAGGCCTAATGATAGGCATCTGACTCATGAACGAACAGCACGCTCAATCACTGGTATCTGACTTCTCCTGAGAGCAGGCACAATTCACAAGTGCAACTCAGTGCTACTCCAGGTTTCTTTACCAAATAATTTACAATTCAGATCACCATGTCATAGTGTAGCCTCTGTCCATGTATGCATGTGTTTTTTAAAGAACATGGAATGGGAATGTTATAGATCATGTTCTGAATTATTTTACATGGATTTTTTCCATCAGCTCCTATGTGTTAATTAAGCAAATACTGTTTACAGTAAATTCCACACTTCTGTAATTATTTTACTTTCAGAGTTGATGGTAATATTTTAAGAAGTATTTTTAAACTGAAAGAAAGATCAGCTTACCTTCTTTATAGAGGTCCACTCTCTCTTTGGTATAAACGTTGTATCTAAATCATTGGATTCCAAGAGCTTTTTTGTGGGCTTCCGCTGGCGCTTACTCTCAAAGCTCCCTATAATAAAGATGTAAATATAGCAGTAATTTCACTGGATTAAAAAAGCAGCATCAAAAAACCAGAATAATGGCATCATGCATTAAACCTCTTCCCAACAGCAAGAAAAAACCCAGCAAGAATAAATGAAATATCCCAAATTATTCAATTGCAGCTGCAAATTTGTTTGGTAATTATTGGTGAATGAACTCCTTTAAGCCCAATCACCATACCTCCGTTTCTTTCCTATAAAAAGGAAGTCTAAAACAAAAATGGCAGTTATAACACTTACGCAACCCACCTGAGATCAAGGTACAATGCAACTGTAGGTCCAGTTCCACCAATGCACTTGGACTGCAGGGACCTGGATATAAATTCTCATTCTTATGTGGTGACCTTGGGCCTGTCCCTATTTCTCTGTTGTTGTGAAGGTAAAATGACACTTCTCTACATATACTACCCAACTCCTTAAATGTGGGATGTGAAACCTGAAGCCCAGGAACTACATACAGTGTTTTCCAGTTGCTTCAGTTTCACCCTGCTCTTCAGACCATCCCTAGAGACCATTTCCTTTTTCAATCCATATGTTTCTGTGTATGTGTGGGCATGACACAGAGAATGAGCGAGAGAACAGAGTGCTATACTGAACAGCAGGGTTTCCCAAACTGTCAGGTATACCTCACTTGGGGAGGTGCAGACAGAGTCCAGGGAAGATGTGAAGAACCTTTTAGTTGTACATCTTTACAATAAAACCACCTTTCCCAAAGTTTCATTGTATTGTTTTTCATTGTTCATGTGTTCATTTTGGTGTTTGGATTTTTAGGGGAGGTGTGTACATTAAGATTACACTAAAGGGAGGTGTGATGGCAAAAAATTTAGGAACCCCTGCTGTACAGTGATAAACTTCTGTACTCTTAATATACTGCAAACTGGACTACTAAGCTCTGATTTTATTGACCTAAAGGGTCTTTACCTGTGGATCAATGGCTCTCAGGGAAGGGGCAGATATAAGAAATGACGGTTTAAAGCCATGTCAATCATAAAAAGTTCCAGGTTTGGCTGGACTCATTGTCTTCTTAACAGGATGTTTTACAACAACTAGTCTAACTAGCAAGTTAGAAAGAAAATGTAAGAGTATTAAAGTGATTTTCTCATGCTTATTTGAACAGAGATGGCTAGAAACAATAAAGTAGAATACATTCCAAATTCACATTATTTTTTTTTTGGTAATGTTTATACAGTAATTAATGTAATTCTCAAAACATTACCCAAAACAAAACAAAACAAAACAAAACCGCAAAAAACCTGTTATAAACTGAAGTTCTGTTTGATAAGCTGGAAGTCTGAAAATTGTATCTATGCATTTTGTCAGAGTTAAACAGCCTATAAACATTGGGGCGGAGAGAATTAGACACACAGGTGATATTTTTCAACAAATAAAATTGTGAAGCAGAATGCTTCCAGGAGAATAATTTAGACGATTTATAAAGGCACATCTCTTTCTCCAAACCCGCAATTGTTAAATGTTTCTGGTATCTATTTTAATGTTAATTTCAAGCTGTGGGTTTTGTTGCTGTTGTTTTTTTGCTTTTTTGTTTTTAAATTGTTTTACTTGAATACTTGCCAAGGTAGAAAGGCAAGGTATAAATGAAATCAATTCAATAAATACTACTTGCAATATCTCAGGTTTTCAAACAGAGTTGCAAAGAAAATATATCTTGATACCTGATTTCATTAACGGTTCTTCTCCCTGTGAATGAGAAGCAGCAGCAGCAGCAGCAGCAGCTTCCAACACATTTGGTGAAGATAATGTCAAAACTGGCATTTCCAATCTTGGTTCCCTGGAATGGGCATCAGGCTCGTCTGACAGAGGACGCTCAGCTTCAAGGATTGGAGGAGATTCTTTTGATGAAGAAGTGGATGAAACTGAATCCAAGGGCTTCTGCTCATGATGTTTATTACATGCTTGTTTCCCAATACTGCTTTTCTGTTTGGTTTCAGACTTCTCCAGAGAACTTGTCTATTACCAGTGATAAACAAAGAAATAGTCACAGCAGTACCAGGAATCAGTACTAATCATGAGCAAAGTTACACAGGATATGACCATATTTCAGCATATTTCAGGTAGCAGTCAAAGAAATTAAAATGTTCTTTGGGCTCTACAACGGGAAACAATTAAGCAGGCACTTAACAGACTCTTCAGTTTTTTAAAAAATATAGGTTAAAACTAGAAATGATGAAGGCATAGTGCTGCCACTGCATGGCACCCCCATGTCTAATTTCCCTCCTCTCCCCCAATAAATCCCCCCCCCCATGATACAGTACACAGTATCATTAGGCTAGAGGTTTCTCTGACTTTGTTCTCTATCCCTGATAACCATTAAGAGGGAATGAGGGAAGCAATAAGTTGATGACTTCAGGTCATGTAGTGCCAATAGACAATTCTAAGAATGAAGGAAAAATTCATTATGGGGACCTGCTGTTTTCCGGGGCACATGTACTTTGAAGAAATAAAACCCTTGTAATTTTGAAAATACACATTGGTTTATTTTAGTATTTTTAATGATTATGCCAAACAAATTATATGTTGGAAAAAACAGAGATAGGAAAAAAGAGACAGGAAAAAAGCAACTTTCTTCATTCTTTACTTCAGGCATGACCAAATGTATTCCTCACACCTCTAATTATACATTTAAAGAACCACAGCAATCTGACACGGAGGTTAAACATAAAGTATTCAAGGTAGATTGGCAAGTACTATAATAATTCTGTGAACAGTTTTCTGACTGCTGATACACTCAAATCCAATTCCTTTGTAGGAAGCAAGCATGATCTAGAGGTGGCTTATTAGAGCAACAAACTATTAGTACTGTTGTTCTAAAAAAAGCTTCCTTCACAGGAAGAGTCAAATACTGCCGGGGTTCTTGTATCATTTATAGTTATTTACTGTCCATTCTTCCTCATGCTACTACAGGTAGTCTTCATTTAGTGACTACAATTGGGACCAGCAACTTGGTCATTAAACAAAGCAGTCACTGTGAAATTGCAACGGTGCTTATAATCTTACTTCAGCTTTCCTTTGCTTTACAGATCTGCAAAGGTTGCAAATGCGAGGATTGGCTGCAAAGTTACTTTTTCATCACTATCATAACTGCGAATGGTCACTAAATGAGACAGTTGCTAATTGAGGACTACCTATATATCCATCCACTAATCAAATACTCTTAAAAACAGCCAGAAGAGGAAATTGCTTCTCTCCGCTCTATGCACATACTCATATTTTGAACTCCAGTCCTAATTTTTAAGCCATGAAAAAATTGTAATTTCCCCCATTTTTCATAAATTCCTAGTTTAATTCAATTCTACACCCACCTTTCGAAATGATTCCTGACTCTTTTTTTTCTTCTTCGGGGCAAATATGTGATCATATTCTTCTGCATATTCCAGAAGCCGCTTACTTGGTTTTCTAAGGCGCTTCTTTTCTGGATTTACAACTGAAATAAAAGAGAAGCAGCTTCACACACTTCAGAGAGGAACAATGGGGTAGGATGGAATCTTTCATTGTTCCCTAGCTCAACAATATAATCATCATCATCATCGCAAGCTCTTAGTTCTTTTTGGATTTTTATGTGTTTTTTCCCTATAAACATCAATCTCACTTCCTCAGAGAGGGGATTCCATCCACATCCCCGTTAAGTTGCCTAACTAGGAGCTACTTTCACTCCTGCCCAGAACCCAGGTGGTCTAGCAGTCCTATCTCTCAACCAAGTGGCAAGACTATAGGAATGTTTGAGAAGAGGCAGTATAAGAAGGCACAGTTGGGAGAATCTGCTGCTGAAGCAGCAACAGAAATCAATCCATATCTGCTCATCAGTCAATTGTTTTTCTGTTAAACCAAGCACACCTTCTTGGGTTGTTCTCCAGACCTCAGTCCTGAATGGGAAACTATCACCAGCTTCTGTGCTTTTATTTTTTTCAAAAACTATTTTTGGCTTATCTTAAAGTAGACTGCAAAAATAAAGCCATTATATGTGTGTTTTTTCTCACCCTCTTAAAGATTTGATTTTGCCATTGCCTAAGCATTAGATGTCAAATTAAAAATAAGGATCAAAAGTTGTATATAAAAAACTATGAAAACTGTTTTGAGATACAGCTGATTTTGAGAAGAGTGACTAAAGAAAAAAACTCAGAACTTCTTTTCTATTCAGCAAACATTAGTGCATTTTTTAAAAACTTGGTTGTTAAGTAAAGCAGTCACTAAGTGAAACTGCTCCCATTAGAGAAAAGCATTTTTTGTCAATTCCTTTCTCCCTCAATGCCATCTTCCACTGTTCGTGAGAGCAACTTTTCATAGGATATAAGAAGTGGAGTCCTTGGTGCTCTCTGAGGTTGTTTGCTTGCAGACGTTTCATTGCCCAACTAGGTAACATCTTCAGTACTAGTGAGGGTTGGGTTTGCTCCCTACAGTAGCTTGCCCTGCCAGTGTTGGTGGGGGTGTAGTTTTCTCCTTGGTAGTTCCTTGATTAGGGTATTATTTTCTGCTTGTTTGTCTGGTGTTAATCCCTGCTTATCTGGGTGTAGGTTCCTGGAGAGGATGTGTTCTGGTCTTTTTGTTTCCTTCTTAGATTTTTTATTGTTTCTTTTGAATGGTGTGTAAATGTGGTTAGGGTATCCTGACAACATCTAGTTCACACAACCTACAAATGAGATGATGTAAGTAATTTAACAGCTGTACCACTTCAAACTACAGGTACAGGCACGCATTTTACTACATGTTCCTCTATATCAACACATAGAGAATTATCCTGGAAAATTAGATGTCAAAGAGCCAAGTTCTAGTCTAGCCTTCTAACAATGGTTTTTACCTACAGGATTTCACAGAAAGCCCCACCTGCAGATATAGGAAATCAAACAAACCCACTTGCAATTCTTATCAAAAACAAGAAAACATTACTCAACTAAAAAGTTCTCACACACTTTGTCTGTTAGGGGTCATATTTAATCACCTTGAAAAGCAAGGAGAGGTCTGCAATCCAGCAAAACTGTTTCATTCAGTACCAGCCAAAGGTGGCCAAAGTAATTCCCCTTCTGCTTCCCTAGATCTACTGATGTGCTTACCAGCTTTAGAACTGCTTTGGTTAAAATGCTGCCATCGCTTTTTGGGTGCTACGTGGCTTACATCTTTAGACTCATCCCCCATGGAGCCTTCTCTATTCAGTCCTGCTTCCAACTCTAGGCACTCCCCATTTTCATATGAGCTGTAGCTCTCTTTCTTTTTACCAGATTCTGACTTCATTTTTACATGAACTAAACTGCCATCAGAGGAACTTGCAGAGTCTTCACCAAGGGAGTGTCCCATCAACTCCCAAGGTACTTTCCTTGCAAAATCTTCCTTGGCTTTGCCTAGAGATCTAGCAACTGAGCTTTGGGTAGCTCTATGCTGGTGGGACACACTCTCTGCTGTACTGAATAAATGTTTTAGTGATTTGCTCTTTGATGTTGTGTTAACTATTAGTTTAGACAGTTGCTTAGATTTTGGACAGCTGCACCTTGAGGTGCAGTATGTACCAGAAACAGCCGTATTTGTGAGTTCCCTTTTTTTAGCACCAGGATTGATCAACTTGGTTTTGATACCATGTGAAAAAGAGGACTGACCTTCTTTGGGTTTATGACACTCTGGTTCTTGAACACTATCTTGATTTTTTTCTAATTTAGAAGTTGCTCCCATTGTAGGCAAAGGTGTCAAATCATTCGGAGTGTTACTTCCAGCACTTTCGCCATTGCTAGAACTTCTGTAGGAGACTATGTTCTGAGTTGTCATGATCTGTTGCTCTTTTGTCTTACTATCATGCATATCTTTCAACATCATTAATAAGGTGCTGTATTTGTAATCAGGCTTAATAGGCAAGTGATTCTGCCCTGAGACAGATGAAAAGAGTAAGGGCACTGCAGTCTTGGGTGGCCCACAGTCTTTAGCTTTATCATTCATGGACCTATGGGACAGCTCCTTCAGTTCAGAAAGTACATGTTTCACAACAGCTGTTTCTATTTCAGCAGAATCACGGGATTTCTCTCTAGTGCTGTTTGGCAGTTTAGAGCCATCAAGCTTCCCACTTTTGGCAGATGTATCTAATTGAAACCCAGGAGCACCTTTGGTAGTAGAAAAGCAGCAGTCAGGGGTACATTCATCCTTCCTAAGAGATGATTCTGTTGCAGCAGCAGATCCTTTATGTTTGCATTTTATAGTTCTGAATTGAAGCTGTTTTATATCCATGTGACTTGTAAACCCTTTACTTTGGAGTGTAGTGTGCTTATCTACAATGGTAAGATTGTCATTCCTGTAAGCGGATGCCATCTCAGTTTCAAAGGATGGCTGACGGAATTCCTCACCTCCTGCTTCAACACTGGTAATCCTATCTAAAGAGCCTTCCAGAGGTTTCCGATTTCTATTACTACTTTTGGAGAGAGATACAGGACGTTTAATGCTTTTTTGCCCTGAAGACAGTTCCTTTCCCCTTTTGTTCATAGAGTCACAATTTTTTAGGTCTCTGCATGCTGCTGCAATACTTTGGTCAAGGGGGTCTAGGGTGCAGATATCATCAGAGTCCATTTCTTTTTTTCTCCCATTTCCACCATCAGTTCCAGAATACGGCCGCTGTAGTTTTGAAGTGGACATGAAGCCTGAGGGGCTTTTCTTTTTCTTCAAATCTATTTTGGAGGACTCATGCTGACAGTCTCTTTGAGAGATATCATATTCTGCTTTCTTAGATTTATTTTCAAATTGTCTTTCCCCAAAAGAAGAGAGCAAGTAGTTTTCCATGGTGCATTTGGAACCCATAAAGCTTTTTGCTGTTCTGTAAAGTTCATGAGATGCCTGCTTATCTGGCATGTTTTCAGAAACTGTATTTTTAACTTTGTTCATTGGCACTTTCCTTCCACACTCTCTCTTGGTGCTACATTTTTTTACTCTATTCCCCTTCCTTGTATCAGAGCTCTTCCTCATTTGTGATTTAGTGAATATTTTTCCTTTATCATGGGGCAAATGTTTAGAATCAAATGCTAATGGTTTCAAACATCCATTCAGTTGCCTGCTCTGCTCGTTTAAGGAGTCCTTTTTACATGATCCCATTAAATGGACGCTGTCCAATTTGCTAGAAGCCCGGATACAATTTTTCATGCCATTCTGCTTAAGATATTCAGTAGTAAGGCCAATACTGATCTCCCATTGAGCCATAAATTTCTTAGGAACCTTAAAGTAAATGAAGACAGGACAAAAGGATATTAGAAAATAAATACTTGTAATATATGCAAATGATAGTGTCACACTAAGAGATGACCATACCTTCTTTCGCAAAGTATATTTGCAATGTATAACAAAATAAACAACCCAAAGTTGGATTTAAGCAGCACTATCACATTCAGACAACTTGACAAATTCTAACCCTAAATGAAGCCTAATGGAATTGTTAAGATTCCAGTAGTCAGCCTGGGGAATTCCAAATGAAACAATCCCTTGGGTAACTAATACTAGCACTTCAGAATTGGAAATACTAATGCAGAGCTAGGAATCAGAAATAGATTAGTTATTAGTGGAATCCATGATTCTAAAATAATTTTCCATCTTGGTCATCTTATCCTATACCTGCACTTCAAATACAAATGTTTCATCATTAGAAATACTGTGACATGTTCTCAAAATTATCAGTTATATTGGTTCATAAAAAAAGAAAAGGAAAAATGACCATTTTCTAATCCATTTTAGGCAGCTCTATGAACACACCAATAAAACACTACTATATTAACAGCTTTCAAGTCCCAAATCATATTTATCATTTTGAATACGGCTTGAAAATGTTATGGCCATAATCAAAACAAAACTGAATACTTTTGACACCCCACTAATTTCAATTAGATATTTATACAAGTGATTTCATTCCAGCTGCAATCTATGCTTCTTTCAACAACAATTCACTTTGGCTGGATCCTTACTTATGTTTTATATCTGAAGGACGATACCTAAACACAGCATACATGAGAACAAGATAGTTACCTTGTGCCTGTAACCTTTCTCTTTTTGCTTCCCTCTTCTCCGAAGGACAGGTAGTTCTTCAAACTGATGTCTTCCTTCAAAAATCACGATAGCTTTTCCTACCACCCAGGCTCTTTCAGATGGATCACCCAACACTTCCACATAATACTCTCGATATGGCTTGCGATTAGTAACTATTGAAATAAAATTAGCTATATTCACATTTTGCACTAAGTTTAGAAAAGAACAGCCTAAAACTGCCAATTTAGGATTAGCAAATGGGATCTGAAATAAGATATTGAAATGTGTGTTCGCTTTGTTATAGGAGAGTCCTTTGCATGATTTCTGCCAGCTCTCTTTCAGGATAAGCTATCAGGACCTCAAGGAAAATACATCAGATTTTCCAAATACCCATCCCCACAACGTTCCATGACCAGTAAGAACGTTCTCTTCTGCCTGTGATTTTTATGATCCTCCCCACCCATTTACTTAAAGATGTGTTTCAGTAAACTTCAGAATTCCCAGCACTTTTTGATACCTTTCACCTTGTTTCCTAGTGGCTTCAAAGTTCACTATTAGATGGAGTAAACCAAACAATAAGCCTTTGTTTCTTTAAAAATCCTGAGGATTGCTCCAAAGCTTCCAATCTTGCTAGAGGCTGCTTAATTTGTGAAATCTCAGGAGCCACTGCTTTATTTCACAAACAAGATGCAGCCTATAGTGGCTCACCCACAGGTCATCTAAGCTTCCCATATTAAGCTTCAGCTGCCCCCATTAGCCAGAAGCGGTGAATCCATTGGAGGGTCAGAAGTTGCTGAAGCACAACTCCTGGCAGTTCAACATGGCCAATGAGGAGGAATACAGAGCAGTATTCGGCAACACTGGAGGACTTTTAATGCCTATCTGCAGCATAGCAAACCATCTTGGAGGTGGGAGACAGGACAAAGTTAACCCTTTCCTCTTCGTATACTGAGAGACCCTGAAAATTGCTCTCTTGTGTCCATTAACTTTAAAAAATGCCTTCCAATGGAAACAGAGACTCTCCTTTTCCAACTGCTGAATGCATGTGGGGGGGAGAGGGGACTGGAAAAAATGATCTGGGGGAATTAAACAATCCATCTCAGGACTCTGTATCCTCCCCAACCCCCTTTTCATTATAATTTATGTCTATACTGTATGTCTTCTTTAATAACAGGTGACTAGGAATAAGAAGATACATTTCCCCCATCTCCTTCATTCCAATATACACTCCGCTACAATTAGATTTTTTAAAATGTGCGTTTAACTATGATTGTTCTGCTACCCCCTTCTATTGTAAACTTTATTTTTAAAGTTATACACTTCAAAAATGCCTTAGTAGTAGCACTTGAAGAATTCTTAAGAACTGAAAAAAATAGGAACATTTGTTCTATGTAGGATTATAGTTGTGATAATCCTCATGTGCATTTTTTAAAAATAAATCCAATGCATAAAGAGCTAACTTCAAAATTGACAGGTTTAAAATTTTGCTGCATGACTGCAGTCATCACATAATACTCAGGAAGTCAAAATATTCCATCCAAGAATGTTTTACCTCAAAACAGCCACTTGGACTGTTCTGAACCAAATCCAAACTCAAAGCAAACCCATTCATTATGTAACAACATATTTTGCACTTCCCTTCTCCCCAGTTAAAAACATCTCTCTCATTACAAGTGTGATTAGCTTAGGACTAGATCATGTCATTTCTATTTCTACCCTATCAATTTATCATGACTAATCCACACAATGCAAATAAATCATTTACAAAATGCCACACGTGCTTAATAATGTTCAGTAATAAGATTCAAACTATACAATGCAAGATGAATATGTTACCTTTCATTTTTGAATGAGTATCTAATACGGGATCATGACAAACTTTACAGGGCCACCATGGACGTCTGTTGAACTTGGCCCATACAAGATCTCCAGCTTCATATTTCACTGGAGCAGGTTTTTTCTTGGTTCGGCCCTTTGAAGAAAAACAAGAAATCACACTAAATCAGTTGCTGAATCAGTAGGGATGAGAACAGAGGAATATACTTATTTTTACTGTAAACGTGTACCATAAGAATTGCAAATTAAAATATTCAAAAGAGTATTTCATTTCAAAGCAGACTTATTTATGGAATTCTAAATAAAGTTAATGTTTTGAACATTTATAATTCATACACTGCAAGATTTTATTCCTTGTTCAAAAAATCAAAGAAAAAAAAATCCAAGAAGGCACCAATATTGATATTTTAGTTAATAAATCCATCAACTAAACGTCTTAAAATCTGTGAACAAACCTTAACTGGTACCCTCCACATATGGTGAGACTGCAACTCCCTGAATTTACCTCCCAACCCACCAGCAACCAACCTTTTTTCCTTCTTCTCAAGCCAAATACAGAGCCATGAGAAAAATATCCCTACTGGGATTAGTCACCCCTACTCTTTCCTAACAGAGTAACAAAATTGGTGCACCTAGTTTCTCTGAAAATTTCTGCCCTCTTCTGAAAGGAAAGAGCTCAGGCCTTAACCCTGATATTGCCAAATAAAAATGGGGAAAGAAACTTTTATTACTGACACTGAGTACTTTATCACTGAGACACTTTGTAACTTGATAGAGCTCTATTGGTAGCATCTTCCTTAAGGAGACCAGAACAGTGTTGGAAAAAAGCTTTTATTAGTGTGAAAGGAACAAGGACTTGGATCCAGAATCTGCCTGCTCAGCGGTGCTTTTCCGTCTCCACTGACCACCGCCCCCCGCCCCCGCAAACCAGAACACAGCTCCCAGCACTAAAGGTTTTCCACAACAGTGTAGAAGACTGCAAAGGGAGGCAAAAAAAATGGAAGACATCCAGAAGCAATCTACCCAAGCATAAGTTCCTTCCACTTATAGATACCATAATCGAAACCAAGCCCTCCACCTCCTCCATTTTCCTTTGGGAAACTAAGGATGTTTCTATGAAGAACCAATAGCATTCAATATATCAAATTCAGCATAAGCAGAACACACACAAAGAAATGCATCTTGGACTTTCACTATGACGCATACAGTGTTGATATAGATTTTTTACCATTTTAGCCTTATGTCATATATGTACCTACAGAAGAGCAATGAATTCAATGTTATTTGCTTCGGAGAAGACATGCGCATGATTGCACTGTTAAGTAATCCTCAACAGCTTCAATCTTAACCTACTGAATTAGTGGTGTTATTTTTCTGTTAAATTAGATGCCCAATCTAGATCATTGTAACTGCTTTTATAACATAATTGCCTCCCCTTCCTGGACTGTACCTAGATATTTTTTTCAGTATTTTATATGCCCCTCTTTTGCTCTGGCCCAAACTGGCGCATTACCTATTACGGCAACAACTGGCAAAAATAATTCTCCCATATAAAAGCCGTACTTGTTTTTATTCAGGCATGGAGGTAAATCTGTTTCATATATGCTGTTAAAATGTCTACTGCACACCCAATGGCAATTGAACTTAGTTTTTCCAATTGTTAACCATTTTAATTGCCATCGTGACCAGAACGCTATGACCCTTCTGAAGGGTGACCACTCTTCAGAAACCTCTAAGAAGGCTGCAACATTTTTATCAGCAGCTATAGCTCTTAGAACCCAACTGGTTCCTCCCTCATGCTATTAACTGTTAGCTGTTCTTTGTTTCAGGATTTTCTTGCATTTTTAAAAAATTATTTTACTATATTGTAGGATTGGTCTTTTTCCTGGGTTTGGTTTTAGGCTCTAAATAATAATAAACATTGAACTTTAAACATCATTTTAGGATATCACTATGTGACCATGATAAATTAATACTCATATAGTTTTCTGAACCACACTGAACATTTTTTTAATTGTAGTCATCATCAATTACACAGGGAAAAAAAGGAATTTTATGCTATCTGAAGCAGGAATAATATTATACTCTCCGAAGAAGCATAACCCAGAGTCCACTGGAATTGGGTGGCCAATAAATTTAAAATAATAATAGTAATGACAACCACCTGCATCTTACCAGGTAAAATAATTTCCAGGATCCACCAATTCTCCCTCCTTTTGTTTTCTACTACTAAAGAACATTGTCTTTTGCTTAAGAATAAGGTGACTTCCATACAGCTGGACTTCCTATTTTCAGGAATAATCTATTTGTTTACTTCTTCTTAATCCCAGAAACCTCAGGAGCCATTTTAAATTAATCTTATCGTCACAGCACTATGTGCAGCCTATGCTCTTCCTATACTTCACCTAAAACTTGACAGTGCAGACAATGAGTTCAAGCTTTTTGCCTTGCTCTTTCTTCTCCAAATCTGAATTTTGTATGCTGGGGATGTGATTGGAATATTTCGAAAGCCTATTTTTGTGACCTTGGCTTAATAAAGGTATAGTTATAAAGTAGACATTGGAATGTAAAAAAGAAAATCTCCTAAGTTTGAAAAGAATCTGTGCCTCAAATAAACAAACATAACCTAAACATAATATCTAGAGAGAGATATGTCCTCCCTTTTGCATTATAAGTACATTTTCTATGTTTAAGACCAGGCTTATATGTATAATTAATTCAACACAAGGATTTTGTTTTTACTAGGGGACCCTAGCAGGATAGTAATTCCTAGTCTGGAGTTAGTTTATTTGTTGAAAAACATTATAAAAAATAACTCACTAACACTGGCATATTGTGCAACATCTGTCAGCATGTACTTACATTTTAATTATTGTTTACAAACTCACAAGCACTATTGGCAATCTTCTTGTTCCTACTGGCTTGTTAAAATGTCCCTGCCCTTGCTCGGTAGGAGAGAAGAGAGAGAAACTATGTATGCTGGATATTCCTAGTGGAAAACAGGAAAATTTTGGATAACATCTACCAGGAAATACCAACTAAGGAATGACTATAACAGGCACAACACATTTGAGCTAATGTATGTTAGTATGGTCTGATACACTTGTGTAAAAGAATAATGTAAGAAATGTAAGAAAATGTAAGAACTAGGATCATGAAGCAAAATCAGGAATAAGACTACATACTGTCTTGGGGCAAGATTTTGTAGAGTTCTATCACACAGATCAATACTTATTTCCTTTGGAAGATTGTTTTAAATCGAACATAAGCTATTAAAAAGTATGTTATTTCAACATTAACCTTTCTGTACCATGATTTTATACTCATTCCTAAAAACTATGTAGTATATTCCACCTGAGACTAACCCAGAGGTTGCATATTCCTATAAACCCCCCCCCCTCACCCCATGGGTGGTATGTGTCTTACTCAATCTTGGGTCCTCTACCAGAGGCCTGGGAGTTTGAGGTTTCTGCACAGTATCTTAGCTATTCCTGGCACTGCACTCTTCTGACAGAGAGCTCTGATGTTGTTCCTGGGTTCTGTTGGAGCCTCTCCCCCAGGTTAGGAATCACAGCCCCGAATGCTCTTACCACCACTGGGACCACTTTGGCCTTTACTTTCCACATCCTCTCTACAGGTAGTCCCCAGTTTACAAATGAGTTGTGTTCCCAAGGCCTGTTGAGAAGTCAAATTTCTATAAAATCCAGAACAGTATTACTGTATAATACTGTATAAGTAGTATTGTGTAATTAACTCAAATATTGTGTATTTAACTCGAATTTTGCTACAATAGGCTCTGCTCTTAACTATGGGTCATCCTTAAACTGGGCATTCTTAACCCGAGGACTACCTGCAGTTCCTCCTTCAGCCCTGGTAGTTCTCCAGCTTCTCATACTCCTTCCTGATGTTGTATCACTTGGGACCACTACATCTATCATCACCACTGTCTTCTGGTCCCTGTCTGTTACCACTGGTAATAATGGAATAATGGAAGGGCTGGAGAGTAGTACAATCATGAGTGTCTGCAGGCAACAGTGAAGCATGGTGGAGGTTCCTTGCATGTTTCTGCAAATGGAGTTGGAGATTTGGTCAGGATCAATGGTGTCCTCAATGCTGAGAAAT